CGCTTCCGGTGACCTTTTCGGAGGCGCCACGTGGCAGCGCCAGTCGCAGCGTCGGCTTCTGTAGGACTCGCACTCGGCAGGTAGTTTCCACAGAGCCGGCAGCGTTTTCTGCACGACAGGTGAATACACCCGCATCCTCAAACTGACAACGTGAGATACGAAGGGTTGCATGGCGGTCATTCGGCTGACTGGTTGTGCACTTGGCGCCACTACGCAGAGGCTTGCCATCCTTCAGCCTTCAAGAGACAGAGAAGAGGAGGGTTGTAGAACATGGAGAAGGGTTAGTCAGTCAGTTTATTAAGGGAAAGATAGGCGAACGCCTTTGAACTCTCTGTTGGTAACAAGATGATAGAGAATAAATCGATACAAAGAAAAATTTAGAATTTACGTCAATTACATGTTCCGGGAAGACACCAGAGTCAAATCTTTATAAGATATGACAGACAAATATATGACTACTCGCAAATTGCCAGTAGTATAATTTGATGCAGTGTATGTGATACAATAAGTTGAATTACACACAATTGTAGACGACTACTCGCTTGTTTCAAGTAATACACTGTGCAAGAAAAAGCCAAGGAAGAGTGGAGTGATTCTGCTCGGTCGATTCATCCACATTAACCTACCATAGCCCCAAACCCAGGCAAGACGATCACCAGTGTGACAAGGCGGGTCGGGTAGTCATTACGTATTTTGGTAGGTTGGAATTAGAGTACTTGAAACAAAAAAGAACCAGGTAGTTTGACTTTAATATTACAAACTGCTTTGGAGGTGGAAGAGCACGGACCATGAAAATACTGAGGACTACGAGGGCTGGAATAAACAGTAAGCGTAGGGTAAGCAGGTGTAACTAGTTTCAATGCGTTCAGCTGAATACGGTTCACCGGGGTGAATAAGAGAGGGGGTTGGTTAGGATGGTCCGTCTACCTATCACAGACAGACAGAAAACTGACTAAGGCACATTCTCTGAGCATGAAATGCGATAGATAATCTTGTAAATTTGTACGAAACTACCAAGACCAAATAAGTTGACGACAGAAAGCAACATAATGCAGAAACTGGCACACGCCCAAGTTACAGGAAATGTAGTAAAAATAAGGCTATGGAGGCTACAATCGCATTGCACTTGGTCACAAAGTTAACTTGGACAGAAGGCGGCTTATTCTCACTGATAGGTATACAATCAGTCGCCTTCTATTCAGCCCTGAGTCATTTGGGGAAGTTCATGATTTCTGCCGTATGAACCAAGCCAGTTACAAGAAGGTCAGTTCCACCTTCTACATTGAGTAGGCTGGAGAACAATGAGCAGTGGTTATTTCCATATACTGGCGTCCAGATAACCATATTCTCCTTTGACGCCTCACACCGCACAATGCAACATTAAAGCTTGCATGAATAACCCCCTAAAATCAACCGACCTCTCTACCTCTCCACTCACTAATGTTGTCGGTTCCACCTTAACAAAATCACCTCTGGGCTGCCGTAACGGACGTTGGATCGGCTCCTACCCCCCTAATACTGTTGCTTCCTATGCTACCGCTTGGATCTCTGACGGTGGAGTCTTGTTCGAGAGCTCAGATTAAAAAAGAACTGGTTCGGGCAATCGAATGATCTTTCGCCTTCCACTTATGCGGTGTATCTATATAGGAACTGACGGCAGGACTGTCTTTAGAGGTCCTTTTGTCTTTTACTTATAACAATCACCTACTTTTACATTTTCAGTAGGCCGACTTTCCCTTTTTTCGTTAAGTTCCGCCAAGATAAGGTTGCATTTTCCTCAAATGACTTCAGTATCCTGAGCAACAGGAGTTTATGTTGATGGATTTTATTCTATTTAGTACATTGAAACAAATATAAGTTCCTTTAATTTAATACTTTTTGATCACTTCCACCACAATTAAATATTCATTTACACTCACTAACCAAGAATTAAATGTTTGACCACAAAATAGATTAGACAGTTGGGCGGGGGGGAAAGATATTTAGGGGGCCACACAAAACATCTTTACCGAACTGACTCCCAAACGTAGACAAACTCGTACCGCTTTAGTGTCTGCCTAAAAATGCGGTCTTTCATTGAGAAAAATAAAGAGCAAAGATGGTGTACGTGGTCTTTTATCGTCGAAATGGGGTTAAATAAAGAAACTTACCAGGTAACCGTGGCTTTGGGTTCACCCAACTTGAAGTCGCAGCTCAGGTCTACCGGTGTGTTCACTGAGACGGCAGCGTTCTCTAGCGGTCTAACGAGAACCGGTTTTGCAGATTCTGAAAAAAAACGTAAGACCATAGATCAGGATAAACCAGCTCTGCAACACCATTTAAAGAAGGCTTAAAATGTAGGCCTGCGGTTATATTTGAGGTTCTGTCGATGGCATAGAAATAAATGAGAAAAACTACCTCTGACACATTCCGTGAAAATCGGCAGATAAATCGAGAGAATCAAGACTGCAAGCAACCGGCGACACTTCCATTTCTCGAGGTCTAGTCAGTCATCACAGCGGTTTTATGATAAGAAGGTTTACGATTACGAATCTAGCCAAAGATCTGGCGCTCTTGGTTCAGGAATATCTTAGAGCACCGCTCAATGCTGGCGGAAGTAATCTAGGGAGGGGAGGTTAGGGATGGCTCACCACTCAACCACAAAACACTGAGTATGAGGATATGGATTCCGGCCAACGGGATGGGGACACAATCTGAAGAGAATAACCTAAGGTGACAAGATGTCTCGAGTTCTTAGCTGAAGAAATTTTACACAAAACGCTCAATGCAAACTGCAGACAACCCTGATTTCCAACCTGACCCCGAGCTCAATTTAGTTAGTGGAATACCGGGAAGAAAATGAGGCTGCGTAATGACAGGACGTTGGATTGTATACGACTGGCTGATGAGGGCTAATACGCCAGAAATGGCCACATTCCAGTTTCCCATGATTTTTTGGTTCTACCTTATCGTCATGTATAGACAAACAACGAGCCCGGGACTCACTACTAGAGCGTTACATTCAACGACTGAAAGGTCGCGGGTTTGAATATCGGGTGATCTGCATCTGGGATGGGGTGTGACTGGCTGACGACGGTTAATAAGCCAGAAACGGCCATTCCGGTCTCCCTAGTGTTTATCGGAACCAGCTTATCGTATATGCTTGCTTCTCATGTTGATGGGTTTATTTTCTCTGGTACGAAATACATATTTACATACACGGCCTAACAACTAGTTGTTCTCGGTGACGTGGAGGTCAGTCGGACTCGGATATCAGTTCAGGAAGTCCGAGTAGTCATTTCAGGCCACAAAAATGTAATATTTTGCCGATGTAAGATCAGCTTAGCTGCATTATTGTTATTATCATCAATTATCCCCTGAGGAAAGAATGCAGAGGAGATGGGTTTGCACATACCTGCAGCCTTTTCAGGCGAGTATGGCTCAGAGGGTTGTGAAAACTCTCCTGTTCCAGCGGAGTTGATAGCAGCAACACGGAACTCGTAGTCACAATCCGGTTGGAGTTTCGAGACTGTTAGTTCTGTGTCGATTGGTTCCTCTTCACAGGTGGCCCAGTGAATTCCATCAGTTGTCTAAAAAAACATCACAAAATCTTCATCACTCAGACCGCACGACATGCACTGCCACAACATTGTTCACAGTTACAGCTCCACTCGAACACAGCACCTAGGACTAGTCCACCTGCCAAACCTCCTCTACGTGAGGACTCCATGTGGTTGTTTTGCAAGAATCAATCAATAGGCGTCTCGTTTATTGGAAGGGTGGAGTTAAAACAGCGCAAGCTTGAGTTAGGAGAGGTAAAACATTCCCTGTGTAAGCGAACATTGGACTGCGTGTTAGGATTTCTCCTTAAACGGGCCACTGCATCAACAAGGGTGCCAGATTAGGGCACAGCAACCGTCATTCGGGCTGCGCTCCCATAACGAATGGTCAACCTGGGGGACGGGAGGGGTGGGGGGGGGCG